GATGGATGGTGGATGGATGGATGGATGGATGGATGGATGGATGGATGGATGGATGGATGGATGGATGGATGGATGGTGGATGGATGGATGGATGGATGGATGATGGATGGATGGATGGATGGATGGTGGATGGATGGATGGATGGATTGAAGATGGATGGATAACGGGTTTATGGATAGATGATGGAAAGATTGGTAGATGGATGGATGGATGGATGATGAATAAAGGAATTTATGAGTGAATAGAATTAGTAGTTAATGAAATACAATTCAAGTCTAAAGTGTAATAGCTTTAAACTTAACTGTCTATTATACTCCTTAACTGTAACATTGATATTAATATATACTTTAAAAAAAATGACTTATCAAACATTTAAGCCTGTGGTCCAACGAAACCTTAAAAATACCAGCAGCCCCTTAAAAATACAAAATTACTTCACTCTATATTATTTCTTTCCCTCTAGAGGTAATTAATTATCTTAACTTTTCCATATTCCATTTTATTATGACATTCAATTATTTATTTGTTTTTATAACATACCTTTAACTATTTATACGGACTTTAAATTATCAAATAGTGCATTTTACAATTTAATGGTATCTGAATAAGGTATTTGATTAATAAATGAAAAGATGAATGTACTTTTTTAATGGTAGATTTAGTTATTTTATAAGACATCCATATATTTCTATTTTGGTTCTCTGTAATAATAATCACCCCCACTTTTCTAGAGGATGTTTTTCTCTGTTTGATCCCATTTGGGGTTAAAGAGAGGGAGGGACTTGGAGGCACCTGACTGCAGACAGGGTCACTTAAAAATATCTAATCATACTTTACAGAGTTTATCAATATTATCCGGCCGTGCTTTAAAATATCACCTGTTCATATCCAGCTTCCTTTTTTTTCAACCAGATATTAAGCTTTTACTATTTAAACCATCAAAAAAGTAGCTTTTTTTAAAGCCTTTATAACTGAAAGTTGTAAGGCAGCCCAGTCTTTATTAGTCAAACACATTTTCAGAAAGCATTTCACTTACAGTATTTTATAGGATGAACAGCTGGACGGTGGTAGATGAAACAGATTTCACTTTTACAAGAAATACATTTCATGCCAGGACAACGTGTTACAGCCCTGCTGTCAGTTCTCAGGTTACCCTCTCTGACTGTTGGATGCTTCTGCCACTGCCTGGCACTTGTTATACCTTCTCTGAAGCCATATGGTGCCCTTTCCAGAAGTTTAATCTCCTTGCAAACTTAATTATAAGAAAAACTGACTGATTAATAAAAGTTGTTATAGAAATGCTTTATGGAATCTAAAACCTGCTGTTAAGCCCAGTACTTCCATCAATTGTGAATCAGGAATCACCGCTTAAGATAAATGATAGAAGGAATATCCAAAAGTGACATTTATTAATAAAAAGAAAGTAGAAACAAAGTAGAACAAAGTTTAGTATTAATATCTATTAAAAATATTAAGCTGCCAAAAATATGTAAAGACCTTTAAAGATATGCCTATTTTCAATAAAAAAAAAAAAACCAAAATTACTGCGTAGATGTTATTTCCTTGCTATCTGAACAACTGCTAAAGCAGAGGGGTATTTCAGTGAAAGGTGATGGAACAGCAGGTAAGCAGGAAGTGATTATGGCACACTCGTCACTGCTCATTAAATCTGGATGCGTGTGTTGAGGGTTTTGAGCAGCAGGGAAGTTGCAGGAGAAGATTTCCTGAATTACTGTGTTAGAGCACACAAAACACAACAAATTGGCCAGAAAATGAGGAGAGCTGGCTTACTTTGGAATTAAAACTAGTGACAACTGAGATCCTGTCAGAGTAGCCTTGTTGTCAGATTAACAAAGTACCAACGAGCTAATTAGCTAGAAATCGTTGTGTGTTGAAGTCAGCACTTTCTTTATTACTGTAGCACCAAACCTCTCAAAATTGACTGTTCCAAGAAACTAATTGGGGTATAATTTTCGCAATCTGTCTTTTAGGGGCATTTAAATTAAAATAAACTTTTTACAATCTAACAACAAAAAATTGCCCAACTAATAGTTAGCTACACATTTTGACAATAACAGAAAAAGAGAAAATTTAAAAAGTACCACATTTGTTTAATCTTGAAGAATCAAATTTGACTCCATCCAAGTTTAATACATATATTGTATCTTTGTCAAAGATGAGCAAAAATGCTTAGTATGTTTTATTTAATCAATCAAAATGGGACAATGCAAAATTACTGAGCAGTAACTGACTTTCAAGTTTCTAAAGAAGGTTAGAACTTAGGTTAGAAGGCTAGAACTAGAAATTGTTTCTACATGCTTATTCAGCACACAACGTGTCTACTTTAATAGTAGCATTAATTAAAACTTTTTTTTTTTGACAAAGTTTATAGTTTGAGTAGCTCAGGTTATCCAGAGCTATCTCTACTTTGCTGCTATAGGCTTAAGCTGCTGGAGGACATAGGGATCTCTTTTTCTCTACTTCTATCTAATTCTGTTCTCCAATTCTCCAATATTTCTTAGTTCCACTTCAAACTTTATGCTCTCTCTGATTTTTCTAATCAGAAAAGGTTCATCTGTTCTGTTTCTGTTTGGTTAGTTTGAGCTAGTCTCCCGTAATCTTTTCTAAGATGTAAAGTATTTAGAGATCAATGCTTCTATGTTCCTTTTGTATGTCTGCTGCTGTCTTGCTCAACCCCCAGTCATCCCCAGTAGAAGGCGTTCGGCTTGAGGTTTCTTCCTCTTAAAAGCGAGTTTTCCCTCTCCATTGTTGCTGTATGCTTTTAAAACTTTCCCTCAATAAAACATGGTTATAGTTTAAATGGTTGATGATGTGAGCAATGGAAATCTTTAGTCATATTCCTTGTTTTATGCCCACAAACCTAGCCATTAATCTTGATTCTGGTTCTGACATTTAAACAGACTCAAATTCCAACACTTCAGTAAACTTTTAAAGCCCATTTTGAATTTGGCAGGATGAATGGATGTGTGGACCTATGGTTAAATGAAATAATGGATGAATTTCTGAATAAATGAATGGTTCTGCTGGAGGTTTCTTCCTTTTAACGGAGAGTTTTTCCTCTCCACTGTCGCTACATACATGCTCATTAAGGGAAAGTTGTATTCAATGACGAAATGCAACTGTATATCTATTGTCCCTACATGCTAATCAAGGAAAAGCTCATCCGACCAAGTCAATGACTGGATGAAATCAGCTGATATTCCTTAAATAGAAATCATTTAACCAATCTGCCCGTATAATCTGAAAGAAATGCTTCTGTGGATTGCTAGAGGATGACAAGGGGCGTAAATACATAAATAAATAAGATATGATTATTTAATATGGTCTAAAACCTCACAAAATACATCTTATTTTTACTTTCTGGTATAATCAAAAAATATTTTGTTTTTGTTGTTATTAGTCCTGAAACTAAAGTAATATCTCCTACTAAGCTAAATCTGATCCCATTAACCTCCCCTCGAAGGCTTTAACTACAACCAGGTTTCTGTTTATCCTTGGTTCTGTTATCATGGGATCTTATTTTTTTCTTTAAGGCTCAATGCAAGATGTCAAAAAAGGATTCAGTACAGCATGACTAGTCATTGATCAGATAAAAGAAACGGATCAACTTCAAGAGATATGAAGCCAGTCTACATGTATCAGTCCTCTCTTACCCCTGAGTGCAGTTGGCATGGCAGGGATGACACTCGTTGTTGGCCTTGGCGTATTTGAAGATGAAGCTGTTTGCACCTTGCAACCCGTCTGGGCATTTCTCCACACAGTTTGGCCCATCTTTGAAGTGAAGGCATTTTACACACTGGTCTGGGCCCTGGGAGTTAAGCAGAATAAACAAACAAAAAAAACAAAACTGATGAGAATGACTGATCAGCAAAGAGGTATAAGATACAGTAAAAGGATAAGTTGGCCAGTTGAACAAAGAAAAGCAAGCTTAGAACAGGAGGAAGTAATGCAGCAAAATAGTTAGGACATAGAAAATAGAACAAGAGATGAACAGAAGGAATAGAATTTTGCAGATTTAAATACAAAACCTGGCAAATTGTGTCAATTTTGCCCACTTCCCTTCACGGGCTAATTTAGCCCGGCAGAAATCTACCCGGCCATTTATAAAACACAGATCTAAATTGCCTCCAGTGTATTCTGCAGCAGCCCTGCAGAAATTGACAAAAATGCATGGGAAATCAGGTCATGTCAAAAGCACCGCACAGTGAATGCGACGGAGGAGATGATAAACTGTAACCGAGCAAAAAGCTCAGCTGCAGCCGTGTGATGAATAAGTAAGACAGGTAGTGAAGTGTGAGTATGGATGAAAGTGAGAAAAAAAAACAACCTCCAACTGTACTCTTTGTGTATTTCCGAATGCGAAGGAGGGGAAGTGTTTTCCGGAGAATCGGATAAAATGCGGAGCTATAGCTGTGTTTGTATGCGTATGCTTGAGTTGTTGTCTGGGAGATGTTCTAGGAGTTTTGGCTCCACGCTCTGCTGCTAATGACTACCATGGTGACCTGATGGACAGCCTCTCCGGGCCTGACAAATCCAGGCACACGCCATCAATAAACATTATTTCTCACATCGCATGTTTGTGGGTGTGCATGTGTGTGTTAGCGTGAGTGCGGATGCATACAGATGTCTCAATGTAATCTCATCCGCATGTATGTTTGGACGGCTGTGGATGATTGACTCTGGTGTTATTTACTACTCAGCTGTGACCAGCATCTGAAAGTCACCAGCTTGTGTGCATCATTGAGGAGTTGCTCTCTTTTTCATCTCTTGCTCCTATTCTATTCTCATGGGGGGGGGGGCAGCCAGAAAAGGTTAGACACATAATCACTTTATTCACCAAACTCAGCCATGCAGGACATTACAGGTAATGCTACTTTGCAAATAAAAAGCTGAATTTTATATGTATAAACATATCATTTCCACATTAGGTTGACCATCAACTATAGGTTTGTGAAGCTTCTTAAAAACTTGGTGAGACTAAGATAAGAAACTGCTGAGTATTCTTATTGTCTATGCAGGGACGTCAATGTAGTTTGGTACCCGGATTTTTAAAACTGAGAGAAACTTAAAGTTCCTGATAAACATGTTGAGATAAATGTCATAAACTGGCCTTTTACAGATACAATCCTTATAAAATTATCTTTAAATATATTTCTAATAATTCTTAGGAGAAAAAAAGGAAATAGTGCTCATTCGTAGCCATTTTCCCTTAGCAAAAAGTTTATTTAAGTATACTAAAAGTGCACTAATTTCATACTTAAAATCAGTGCACTTAGAGTTTACTTATTCTAAACTATATTT